TTTGAAATAGAAGTGAAATTTTCTAGGTTTTGCTCCCAACTCCCTCTGGTCTCCTTCACTTTTGGACTCAGTCTCTTTTCCTCGTAAGGATATTATCCCCCCGCCCCAGTGATGTACTTTTCCTAGGGCTGCAAGGGAAGAATGACAACCAGGCATTTCTGGACCAAGGTTCTGGAGTGCCCTTCCAGGATGAGATGCAGTGGTGTGGCGGCAGGTTGGTGAGCACCAACTGCAGAGCCCTTGTCCTTGGCTCCAAGTGGATATTACCAATGGGTCACAGCACTCCAGGTTGCTACCCCCATGGGCCAAGATGGTGTTTGGGATGCAAGCAGGCTTCCTCTTCAGTATAGTGAAGTTCAGAGGACTACATGCTGAATCCTGGCCTTTCCCTTTCTGCTTTGTGAACTGGGGATATTCCTGGACATTTTGGGGCCTTGAACTTGTTGGCTTCTCAGATCCTACACAGCCCTGAAATTCTAGGATTTCATGGTCTCCTCACTGGGAAGGAGTCTTGTTGTCTTGTGGCCCGGCTGTGGAGGGATAGGATTAACCTCCAGGTCAGTGAGCTTGCAGAGCTCAGGAAATGCCTCTGTGCGATCCATATTTGGTCCAGAGACAGGTGGTGGAGCTGGAGCTGGAGGTGGAGGAGGGGAAGTGCACTGGCAGTCCAAGGCCTGACTCAGCTGCTCGCTTCTGAGGGGATGGTCTTCGGCCTGGGTTCTCAGGGCACATGGGCTTAACAAAGAAGCCGGACCCTGTGAATTAACCCTCCCATACCAAGTACTTGGCCACTACCACTGTCACTCAGTCTGTTGGCAAGAGTTGGGGGTGTCTAATTCCTGATGAATGGGAGCTTGCTGGGAATCAAGGTTCATTCTCTCATTTTTCAGTAAACTTTATGGAATCCAGCTCCTGAGGCAGGTGTTGCTGTTTGGATTTGCAGTGTGATCTCTACAAAATTGCTTCCTTTGAGCTATTATTTCCCATGCTCTCTTGTTTGGTGGAGGAGAAAGATGAGTCCCTTTGTCACCACTGCTGTGGAGGAGGGCCATGGAGCATGTCTCCCCCTTGTACAAGAAGGAGACACTGAGGTCGGAAGAGAGTCCCCCTCAGAGCTGTGATTCTGCTGGCAGTCGGGAGGGAGGTGCCTATGTGTATAAGCTCCCAAGGCTGTGAGTGAGCTTTGCCTGATATGTTTGTATATTTGTGAGGCGCCCGTGAGATTAGCCACTGGGCAGAAGTTTTATTTATGATATGCCTAGAATTCCTGCCCCGCTGCCATCATCACTGTGCTGAGCTCCCAGGAGTATCTTAAGTCTCCGAAGTAATCTGTGTGTTGGTCAGGTATGAAGACACCTCCCACAGAGCCCAGTCCTCAAGGCTCAGCTTTGCCTGGATGTGGGACTTAATGCTGGGGGTGGGCGGCAGGGAACGGGGCCGATAGATGTCTCAGTCAGTGTGACCCTCACAATGCTCTGATTCGGTCACTTAATGTAGAGCAGATGTAGTAATTTGGCATTCATAGCTCCTCTGGATTAAAATGGTTTACAGGAGAAGCTACCATGGGTAGACACAGGATTTCAATAGTACTCAAGTGGGTTCAAGTAGTGTCAGTCTAAAGTATATTAAACTTTTTTTCATTAACTTCAGTTTAGTAGACATTTAAATTTTAATTTGTAATGTGCTTAGTTCTTGAAAGCAGTAACACTGCCAGTTTTTAAACAAATGTTCTGTATTTTGTACTTTTCACTAATTTGGGAAGGATTTCTTATTACTGATTAATGAGGTTATACTCAGAATAGGATCAGAGCATTATATTACCAAGAGCTGGGCTGCTCCTTAGAGATTACCTCACAGTCTTCATTTTAGAGATGAAAGACATTAACATCACACTTATAGATGATTGGTGATTTATGTGAACAGCTCTGGTCCTTTCTATGAAAGGGCTACAGAAGTGGGTGCATAGAAACAGAAAATCATTCTAACTTTCTGTTGGAGTCTCACATGCACACAAAAAATGCAGCATTCAGTAAATTTTTATAAAGTGAACCCATTCATGAGGCCAGAGTAAGAAACAACATTCCCAGCACCTCTGAGGTCATCAGCACACCTCTTTCCAGCCATCCTGACATCTAATAGCATAGATTAGACTTTGAACTTCATATAAGTGAGATCATACAGTATGTTTTAAAGATCTGGCTTCAGGGCCAGGGATTTAGTTTAGTGGTACCATGCCTGCCTTGCAAGTGCAAGGTCCTGAGTTTGATCCCTGGTATACCCGCCGCCCCCCCCCCCCCCACGCAAAAATCTAGCTTCAGAAAGAACTTTTTTTTTTTTATCGGGGATCAAACTCTGGTCCTTGTGCTTGCGCAGCAGGCAGCGAAACCACTGAGCTAAATCCCTGGCCCCCAAAAGAATTTTTTTTAAAAAAAATGAGACTCATTCATACTGCAAGTGGCTGTAATTTATTAATTTTCATGATTGTATAGTATTTCACCACAAGTCTATACCACAATTGATTTTTTGACTTGTTGATGAGCATTCTGGTAGTTTCTAGATTTGGGTTATTTTTAAGAAATGTTCTATGAAGATTTTGATACACCCTTAAAAAATCAGAACCTATTTCTATTGATTTACACTGAAGAGTGAAATTACTGAGAAAGAGATTATGGATATACAGTGTTCTACTTGTGTAGGTATCACCTGTTTTCCAGAGTGATTGTGCCAGTTTATATTCCCAACAGCAGTATATGAAAGTCCTAGATGGCCACTTGGTGTTTCTGTTTTTTTAGGCATTCTGGTGAGTGTGCTGTGATGTCTTGCCCTGGTTTTTGGTTGATTTCCCTGATGACCAGTGAGGTTGAACACCAAAAATGGGATTTTTAGCATAGACAGGGTTTTAGCTCTTCCATCAAGGAAGGTACTCTATGCCAGGCAGCGAGGGCACAAAGATACTAGAACATACGTTAGGGGTCATAAATAAAGCGTAACTTCAGGGCAGTAGTGGTCAGCTTAGAATAAAAGAGTCTACAAGCCCCCGGAGATTGGGGCCATATGTTATGTACTTTGTACCACTGTTTGTCCTAAATGTCAGGAACCTTAGGGTCCTTAGGGTTAGGCACATAGGTGCTCAGTGAAGGCTAGTGGTGGGATCCACCCACACTCGGCTAGGGAGGGATGATGGAGATGGGCTGGGATGGATGTGGAGGCATGGAGCCCAGAGTAGGCTGAATCTGGGGCGTGTACAGCCATCTAGTGTGGCTCTAAGTTCAGGTATCCATTGCCTGAGGGCTGTGAACAGGGCTTCCCGTCTCCTCTGAAAGCTTGGGATAGCCAGGGCTAGGAGCTGCTGGAGCAGAGATGATGTGGCTGTCCATGTGGAAGGCAGGGACCAGATTTTCCTGGAGGGCCCTTGGCTGGTAGGATATCTTACACTGGACCTGTGGAGTTCCTGTCTGGGGCAGTGTGACCACTTGCATTGACCATGGATCTAGGTCTGTCCTGCTGCTTCCCTTTGAGAATCCTGGACCTGATTCTACAGGGTCAGATCATGGGCACCTCCCTGTGAGGGGAGTAAAAGCAGCAGGATTGAGGCCTTTGTAGAAGACAAGGCCTGGGGCCCAGGGGCAGAGCAGCAGCAGGAGGCAGCCTTCATGCACACAGTATGTACCAAAAAGTGCTCTGAAACTCAGGCCTGGAAGACTGTACAACAGCACTGGCTCAGCTTGCTTTGAGGCAGTGGCAGCATCACTATCCATGGCAAAGAAGCATTTCCTCGTTTACTATAGAAAAATCTCCATGCCTCTACAATGTACCAACTCCTTCCAGATGCTTCCAATCGCTTTACTTGATAAGATCTTTATAAAAATCACGGCCCTCTTCCTATTTTTTTTTTTTTTGGTACCGGGGATCAAACTTGGGTCCTTGTGCTTGCGCAGCAGGTGGCGGAACCACTGAGCTAAATCCTCGGTCCACATTCCCCTTCTTTATCCCATTTTGGATTCAAGACCAGGAGGGAAGCCAGCTTGGACAAGTTCCTAACACATGCCTGGCGCTGCAGGGCAGAACACATGAATTTGTGTAACACACTTAGGACTCAGTCTCACAGTACAAGGGCTGGGAAGAGAGTGTCATATACTTGGAGCTGCCAGACCTGGGGAAACACATGCTTATTTTCTGTCTCTTTTCTCCATACCTCTTCTGTGACCCCCTTTCTGTCCTGTAATCAGTTATCTTTCTCATGAGGTGCTGTGTCCATCTCTTTACTGATGGGTATCTCAAGAGCTATTATAGGAACAGGAAAGAACTGGGTTTTGGGTGGAGAGGACTTGGTGAGCCTCTGATCTTTTCCTGAGCCAGGCCCTGTCTCTGGGAAGCCAAGGCATCTCCCCACTCCCTCTCTCTTGTCTGTCTCAATAGAAGACTGGTTGGGAAAATGAGTAAGATGTGGTGTGCCAACAGTCCAACCTCCTCTCCTGGCCAGCGTTGGTGTGCAGATGGATGAGCTCAGGTTTGGACGTGACTCAGGAGGAAGGTGGTGGGAAATGGAAGGTGGTGATCTCATGTGGCATTCAACGGAGCCGGAACATGAAGCGTATGTATGCTTATCTTGTCATTTCTCTGCTCAGTCCAGACCTTCTGGCAACATGCTTCTTGGGCTGTTTATGAAGTGTAGTCAGAGAAGAGAAAGTTGACTCTGTTTCTACCTGCTTAGCCGTTTTCACCGACCATTGTAGCCTCTTCATGAAGAGTGCTGGAGAGGGGCAGAGATGCTCACCACACAAGCTGCCTCCTCTCTGCATGGGGCTTTTGGGTGGCTGGGGCCAAGTTGGCCTTGAGGCTGGATGGGGTGGGGGTCTAGGTGACTTTGGAACCTCTAAGAGGAGGATGAGAAGACATTCCTGCTTTGGGAAGTTGAGTCAGAGGGAGTTTCATCTGGTCTGGTAAGGAAGGCTGTGGCCTGGAAATGCGAAGCTCAGACAGGTGTTAATTGGTGTTAATTGGAAAAGTCCTTTATCCTCCTGGGTTAGTCTGCTTTGTGCTACTGTAAGAAAGTACTTGAAATAAGCAACCTCATGAGGGAACAGATTCATTTTGGCTCACAGTTTCAGGGGCTTCAGCCCATGGTTGGCTGGCCCGTTGCTTTGGGCCTGTGGTGAGACACCACATTATGGTGGGAGAGCCTATTCACCCCATGGTGGCTGAGATGCAAACAGTGACAGGACAGTTTACAGTGTTCCCTCAAGGGCACCCTCAGTGACTGAACTTCTTCCCATGAGGCTCTACCTCCTAGAGGCTCTTCCATCTCCAGTCATGCCCCAAGCTGGAGACCAAGCCTTTACATGTGGACCTTTGGGGGCTATTATCCAAACCATAGTATCTCTGTATCCTGGTTTCTTTGCTTGTCATTCCAGTCACACTGGTGACAATACCATGTGAGTTACCAGCGCGACAGCCAAGAGAGGTGAGATGTGTCACATGACAGTAATATGATGTTATTAATTCCACATCCTATGGACAGGTACTGGGCAGGACATATGGAATTACAACTGGTAAGTGCTGCAGGGCAAGTGTTGAGGTTCTGCAGTGTCGACTCAGACATTTGGGAGCTATGTCTAAGCCCATTAGCTCTTTGGAGGAGGTTGAGCCAAGTGAACAAGTAGGTTTGGAAGACTGGATAAAGGAGGCAGTTTTGGACAGTGCTTGAAAACATGAAGAAGATGACCACATCAGCAGTCATGGTAGGCATGGGGGTTTCCCATCGTTGCTAAGGCAGGGAGGAGGTAAAGGTACCAAGGAACCTTGGAGCTGATGTGGGCCCAAGGCAGGGAGGCAGTGGAAAGAGCTCCAAGGTGCCAGTTGGGATGTGTTGGGCTGGGGTGGAGTGAGGGGTGTTCTGAGCCCTGTCTTCTCTGTTTTCTAGCTGTTGTGACCTTGAACAAATACCCTTCCTTCTTGAAGTTGCACAGCCTGTATCTGGAAGTAATAATTCCCGTCTCGTGGGGCTGCTGAGAGAACTGAATGCAGCAGAACATCTGGGAAGTAGAAGGTGCTCAATAAATGTCACCTCAATCTGAATTTCTCTTCCACCCATCTCATTTATAATGTGCATAGGAATATTCTGGAGCCTTTGACACATCTGTGTTGGCCTGGGCTGGGGCTCAGTATTTTTCTCCTGTGCAGTTACTCTAGTTTTCTCCCTATAACCTCCATTCCTGTGTTGGATACACCTGTCTGTGTTCAGCTTGGATTCAGCATGTAACATATGTTCATGGAAAAAACCAGACTCCGCAGGCAACTTCTATGAAAACAACTTTTAGAAGCAGATGTTTCCCTGTCTCCTTGTCATCAAAGTCTCTTGGTGGCTCTGTGGGGCACAGAGTGGAGATCACTGAGCTCTGCTCCGCTGGCTCAGGGCAGGCTGTGGCCAGTTTTGTGGCTTCTTCTGACTCTCTGTAGTGTGGATGGCCGTGTAGATCAGACCTGTGCCCTGAGCCAAGCAGGAGTACTGAGGGGGGGGCTGTGTACCCATGAACAGAGCAGAAGGCCCAGCATGGCAGGGCACCTGCCCAGGAGCTGCCCAGTAAGGCTTTGGGATCACTGGCGTATCACTGCCTGCTGATCCCCAGCATCTCTTCACTTAAGAAGTCCTTGACTCGACACCATGGGATGTACATTTCCACTTGGATGACTGACAGATGTCCTCATGTGTTGAAAAGCATACTTCTCACCCCCTCCCAGGCTGTTTCCTTTATAGATCAGCCTCCCCTTACTACTCCTGCTGCTGTGACCCCGATCTGGCTACTGTCCCTGACCTTCCTGTCTAAAGTAGCTGCCCTCCCTCCATTCCTTGTCTTCCTTAGCTCTCTTTAGTTTCCTACACAGCACACCAGTCTCTCCCTCCCTCCTTTCCTCCCTCTCTTCATCCCTCCCTCCTTCTCTCCTTCCCTCTCTTTTACTTTATTGTTGACCCTGTATCCTCAAATCAAAATGCAAGCTGTGTGAGGGTGAGGGTTTGTCTTGTTTTTCTTCTGGTTTTGTGTGCTGCTATAATCCCAGTGACCAGATTGTATAACTAATTCATAATCTTTAGAAACTGTTTGCCATCAGTCTGAGGATTACTACCCAACCTCTTGTTTTTCTTGATGCCAGCAGTGACTCTTAAGAATCCCCTGGCCCTGGGTACCCTTATAGTCCCATTGTCCCTTCCCCATCAGACCCATTTTATCCATTCTATATTGTTAGTTCTCGGTCCCTGTGTGTCTCTGAATAGATCCAGTAGATAAGATAAATGAGGCTGGTCAGACACTCCTAACCCCTTGCCCAGCATAGATCTAATATGTATAGTTGTCCTTCAGTATCCATGGGGAGTGGTTCCAGGAATGCCTGTTGGATACCAAAATTCATAGACTCTTAAGTCTCTTGTCAAATGGCATAGTATTTGCATATAACCTACATATCTCCTCTATACTTTAAATCATCTCTAGATTACTTGTATTGTCTAATACAATGTTAATGTTATACAAATAATCATATTATGTTCTAGGGAGTCATGACAAGAAAAAAGTTTGTATGTGTTCAGTACAGATGCAGTTTTTTTCAGTATTTTTCACTTGAGGTTGGCTGGATCTGTGGCTGCAGAACCCAAGGATACAGAGGGTTTACTCTTAATAGACAGACTCAATAAACCCAGCAGTCATTCATTTACTGGCATACGTTTTAGTGAATTGCTATTGACAGGGCCTTGGATGGTATGCCTTATAGGCCTGAGAAGGAGCAGTGATCAGATGATGGTTCTACACTGGCACTGAGGGTGTGGATGGTCCAAGATCTCTGGTGAATTTCTGCGAGTGTGTCTGCTTCCAGAGTAGTCAGAGTCCTCAGGGCATACAGAGTCCACCTGTTTCCTTAAATATCCATGGAGGGTCAAAGCTGCTCCTTGAGTTTTTAAAATATGCTGCACGGTCCTGATTGTGTCAGGTAGCTAGTTTATGGGTCCTGTCCTGGTTGTGATAACTCAGGCTAAGCTGGATAATAAACGAAAGTGGGACAGAGCTGCAGGATAAATATTGCAACAGGGCATCTCGAGCAGCACAAATCACAGGAAAAATATCTCCCAGCCTTTTCATTTCTCCTTTCCCTCTCTGGCCTTCTGGTAGCAGCAGGCAAAGCAGGGTCCATCTATCAAGTGTGCCACTTGAAGCCAGCCTCTTTTCTCAGCACACTGCTGCAGAAGACAGCATGCAGGTTGCTCCTGACGCAGGCTTTGTGTTGCCTTCCTGCCCAACCCTGGAGCAAGGCCGAGAAGCCAGCTGGACAGGATCTGGCCTTCCTTCTGTGATCAGTCCTGTCTGTGACATGAGAGAATATAAAATGTGAGAATATAATTAATTGGTGTTCCCAGTCTGCCATGAGCATTCCTGTCACCCGGGAACTTAAAAGTAACTTGTTGAGCCCACCCATGTGTGGAATTTGTGTTGTGGGAATCTAGCTTTGAGGGTCTCTCACTTTTCTCCTCTGGCCTCTGCTTAGGGGACTCCCAATGCCCTCTCCTGTGGAGCACTACTGTCTTTCAGAAGAAGATTGTGAGACAAGCCATGGGCTAGGTGGTCAGACAAGTTTATGTGACTGCGACCCACTCTTGTACCAGATCCATGAGGACTGTCACTTGGGGAGGCATTGTTCAGTTCTGGAAGTGTGCTTGCTTTGTAACCATTGTCATCTGGGATTGATGGAGCCCATGGGGAATACAGAGCTATCTCAGCAGGTAGAAAGGCCAAGGTAAGTGACCTTGCAGGTGGGTTAGCACTATTCGGACCCTGCTGACTCCAGAAGTGTAGGTTCACTTCGGCCTCGCCTCTTAATCCTACTTTTCCAGTTGAGGTACTTGATGTGTCTTAGCTGAATACTGCAACAGCTCTCTAATTAGTGCCTTGCTGTCATGCAGGGTGGCCACGCTTACTGATCTGATCATCCTAACAAGTCCTTTGCTGTCCTGGAAAGTATCTAGGCTCACTGACCTGGCTCTCTGTGCTCACCACCGCACCTGGGTGGATTAACTTCAATGGTCATCTCTCTGTCCAAGGGACACCTAGACTGGGCACAGCAGTGGTTCTGCCCTGTGGCCCTCACAGACTGTCTACACCAGCCATGTCACTCTTCCTGAACGATTGTGAGTCTGCCACCTGCTCTCAGTGCTCTGTGTCTGTCTCACCAGTGCTGCTTTCCCTGGGATAGCCTTTCTTCCCTGCTTACCACCAGCCTAGAGCAGGTGCCTCCCAGGTGGAAAAAGTCACCACAACCTCTAAGATTTGGAAGCACTTACCATATTCTTGTGCTGTCTAAAAAATTGTAAGTTGTTGAAAACCTGCCCCACCCTTTCTCCCCCAACCCCTGAAAATTATAAGCTGATTGAAAACAGGGAGCAATTATGTCTCTAGGTGAGCCCATGTGCCAAGGATAGCGCCTGGCAGACCACTGCCTGATAAATGTCTTTCTGATGAATGGTATAGTGGGAAAGACATCGATCAGGGAGGAAGGAAACAGGGTTTTTGTATTTACTCTGTTACCATCTGGCTGGATGACCTCAGCGAGGTTAATTCCACCTCTGGAACCTCATTTTCCTCTCATTTATAGGGGGCTTTATGCCTGAATGATTTCTAGGATGCCTTCCGTTTCTGGCATCCTGTGCTTCTGTGTAAGGAAAGGAGAAGATGGCTGTGTGTCCATTGTCATGAGCCTGTGTGTCTTGCTGTGTTTGGGCACAGGGCCTCCCTGTACTGGCCCAGCAGCCCAGTTGCTCAGCTGTAATTTTCACTGGCAGCACTGAGACCCACAGAATCCCTGATTTGGTGGTGTAGAAAGGCTACCCCCATCCTTCCTTCCTTGTGTTCTGAGGAGGGGACAGACTGGAGGCACTCTTACGGTTTTGTGCTGGCTTTGTGCCTTGTATGATGTGAGGTGTTGGGGGCTATGCCTCTGGCTTTTGCACTCTGTAACATGCTACTCCTAGAAACCTAGGAGCGGGGCCACACTCCCTGAGGGGTGACACCAGAAGGGAAGGGCTAGGAGAAGGATGAGTCTTCCTCAGCCTTGGCCACAGAGCATCAGCATGTCTGGGCTCCTGGACACCCTGGGATTAGATGAGAGACAAGAGGGTAGGCCAATGATGGAGAGTGCCTTCCTGGGACAGGAAGTGACAGAGGCAGCGGCATGCTGGGAAGCCAGACTCCTGGCACAGGTCTTTCCATCTCTGGGTTCCTTTCTCTACCCATCCTTGGTTGTGCATGCAGGCTGGGAGCCTCTGCTGAGGGCACAGAGTCACTAAGGAGCCTCTCCCTGGTGCATGAACACCTCTGTGGGCATTTTGTTTGGTGACCTCAGTTTTCTCCTCTGTCCCACACTGCCCTACCTCCATGGCTGAGCTGGGGATAGCTCTTCACCTCCACAGTGGGTGTTGCTTATAAATAGAAAGATACTTAACACTGACCCTGGGCTCTGTCAGGGAGGGTGGCTCTGAGTAGCACTGTTTTAAAAATGAGCATTGATTTCTGGGAATCTGCACACTGCATATTAAAGAGACACACGCTGGTGCCCAAGGCCCCTAGGCTCTGCATCCTTCTCCTTTTCTTCCTTTTGAATGTGTGCTGGCTGACCTGCCTCTCAGGGGTCTGAAGAGCTGTGGGCTGGGGTTTATCCCAGCTTTCACCTTTGGGTGTTTCCTGCTGGAGTGCTTCTTACGGGCATCTGTCCACTGGATTGTTCATTTGTTCCTGTGTCACCTGTCATGAACCTGGCATTGCGGTGGGTCTGGGATTGCAAAATCACCCTGCGCCCTTTCCTCTTCAGTCTCAGCACCAATACTCGCAGAGCAGTGTGCAGTGAGAACCTTCTTTGGGAGCTCAGTGGGTGGAGGACAGAGTGTCCAGTGTTGTCCAAGGTGGGCCACAAAGAGGCTACCCAGGGAATTGAGAGTGCCCGGAGCAGGCTGCATTCCTCACAGGGAACAGAAGGTGAAACCCTGTGAGGAAGCCTGGCCTCCTAGCTGTG